TCAGTCATCACGACCGTGCCACCGTGCCCTTTGACCCATGACCCTGACATCTTGAGGCTAATTGGTCAATCTAATCACGTGGTCCACTATTCTTATTTGCTGCTCGCAACTCCGCTGGCCTGGCCTAGGCTAGGCCTACTCCTGGTCCGGCAAAGTACAATGGAGGCGGAGGGCTAAAGATGCACACGAGAGCTCATTTGCATAATTGCGACCCCCTCGGCCCTGCTCGCGACTTGGTGAGTATCTACCCCGATTGTCCGTTCATGTTATTGTTTATAATATGTGTGTGTCAGTGTCTTTGAATTATTGTTGCCAGGGGGGATAGCCCCCCTGAAACCCCCCCTCCCCCCACTGTTGTTACATTGATATGTAAACACGACTGTCCGCTCATGTTATTGTTTCGCATTTTTGTGTGTTTTCTTTATCATAGTTTCCAGGGGGGCAAGCCCCCCTGAACCCCCCTCTTGCTCACCTCGCCTCGCCAGTTGCCGCTGGCTTGCGCTGTGCGTGCGCGAAGTCGCCCGCGGAACTACCTTTTGTCCACACGCAGAGTACTATTACTATGACTATGAGAGCGTAGTTAGGCTAGGTGTGCGTAGTAATCACGGACCGAGACGGGTGGTCCGGTAAAGTACAATCCAGCCGTCCACACCGATAGACAGTATTCAGACAATTCAGAAAGAGACAGAGAGAGAGAGAAGAGGGGAGGAGTTGATCTTGCGAGAACTTCCGGGTGGGTGAGAATAGCCACTTTCGTAATTAAGGACTTCCGAAACCAGCCCAAAACCCTACCCCTAGCACTCAATACCCCTACGGTCAGGTTGGTTTTATAACTTCACGGCCGAAGCCGGTGACTGAATGACATTGCCGACATTGACATTGGTGGTGGACCTCACTCACACAGTCACAGGATATACGACAGGCTGTCAAATACAAAAATCAAACTTCTAGATCTAGCAGACAACACTGCATAAACAAAAAACGTGCTTATGACTCAGACTTACTTTGAGAGACCTAGCCAACGGCCTCGATACACCTGATGCCATTTTACACCTTTTAGACGTTTGCTCTTGTGGCTAGGTCAAAACAAAAGTCAGTACAAAATGGACGACGGAAGTGGTACAATCACGTGACTTTGCGGCAAGATTTCTGCGTGGAATTAATATTTCGTAGACTTCTCTGTTGACACCACAGAATTCTATACCAAGGAGATTAAAAGTAATGGAGGATGCCCTGTGGGTGGCACCGCACGCCTGATAGGAGCCCTCTCTCGCGGCGGAACTGTGGGCTACCTGCGCTGCGCGAATCCCCGGCTCACGCACTGAAATCTAGATAAGAAAGAAGGTTTTATTCCGAGGTCTTTCAGATTCTATTAGAGGCAAGTCAATTAGTAAAAATGCCTTGCACCTGAGTTGTATTTAAGTGTAAGAACCGATATGATGCTGCAGTGGACCGAAGTTTTCACAGGTAAGTTGTTTTCCTTTTAAAAAGATTTGAATGAAAGTGTTTTTATGCCTCCAGCAACACAATATAGATCATTAGCATTCAAGCGCTCCTGCCAAGGCCATCCCAGGCTGAAAGGGATACAACGCCCCAGAAGAAAGACCGAGATACTTGATTTTTAAAAAGTATTCTTATTCTTATTCAATATATATAATTATTTATGTAAATATATATATATATATATATATATATATATATATATATATATATATATATATATATATATATATATAGTTATAGTTATTATGTGTGTATATACATTTTAATTAAAGATTTTGCTTTCCTTTGTGCGTGCAAATTAGATACAAATGTTGTCTAAATGTAGATATCTGGGGGCTCCATTAGAATATGAAATCAAATACTCAACAACAATAATGATGAATATTTTCTATGTCAAAGAAACACCGAACCATATCAGATGAGGGGAGAGGGTAGGGTGGGGTGGATAAGAGTTTGAGTCTTGTTTGATAGAACTATGTCTATACTCGATTCAATTTTATTGTTGTAGTCTTCACCTAAGATCCCACAATTCCGGTTAACTTAAGATTCTGCTGTTAAAAAATAAACCGAACAAAGCAACAACAAATTTTACTACACAAGAGTCATCACTAAGATAAATTTTTCCCCTCTGGAGTATAATAAGGGACTAAAAACGCTGCTCTCCAAAATATCATACTTTACTGAACAAAACAAAAAAAACCTTCAAAGTTCATCCACGCTCATGCATGCGATCACACCTCCGCTCAAAACGTCGATGCGAGGTACAAGTTTGCTCCAGGCGCAAGGATTTTACGACAAAGGTATCACGCCCAGGTGTGAACTCCTCGACTCCTTTGATTTTGCCGAACATCGAACTGGCAATTAAGAGCCTACCGCCTGAGCTTACAGCCAAGGCATGATTCGTTAGGTAGGGCCAAGGCCGCCTCATACAAAGCCACATCGAACTGGGATTCCGTCTTTGCTTTTGATTCCCCGGCCGTCTCACTTATCTATCAGGTCTGCACCTGAATTTGCTAGACAGACTGGCGTCCGTACTCGGGACTGCCCCATCGTCTTTGTGAAATGTTGGCAGTGAGCCTGCCTTTCATTCTTCGAATTTTTATTGCTGCGTCCACAACACAATCGATGAGTTACGACATGATTGTGAGCGGTGATGTCGGTCAGAGATGAAGGACAGAATTAAATAACGAGCAATGGGATCGATCTTGATTAAAAAACCCACAACTGGATCAGTGAAAATGCCGTGTCTCATCATATTAAACAGAGATCATTGTGACTGGTCAAGAAGGTTAACCATTCCCGTCTTTGTTCGTCGTCCTTGTTCGTTTGTGAAAAACAGGAAACACAATGATTGTAATCAATAATATTACTTTTTATAGACCAAGACATACTGTTAGCAATCAGGTAAAGCTGGCATCGACCCTCTTTTGTGTTCGCTATTCCTTACACATAAAGTTAGTTATGGCACACGCCTAGAATCATAATGCAATCATATCTTAAATTTAGTTTAAAAGTATATTTTTATCCAATATTTCTTATAATTAAATCTTTCAGCATCTTGAAACATTATCTTAATAATTTGGTATGTTTGATGATTTTATGTTACTCGGACAAGTTTTCTTCTTATTTTACACATCTTGATTTTTAAACTATAACATAAAACTTAAATAATTAAACAGTCCGTATCACACACAGATTTTTTTTTCTCCCTGTCATTATCCGTCAGCCCGTCAGTTGATCACAATCTCTCTCTCTCTCTCTCTCTCTCTCTCTCTCTCTCTCTCTCTCTCTCTCTCTCTCTCTCTCTCGCTCTGTCTGTCTGTCTGTCTGTCTGTCTGTCTGTCTGTCTGTCTGTCTCTCTCTCTCTCTCTCTCTCTCTCTCTCTCTCTCTCTCTCTCTCTCTCTCTCTCTATCTATCTATCTCTCTTTTATTTAATTTTCCCCATTCTCTTTCGTCCCTTCCCAAGGCCCGCCCCTCGACCCTGCTCGATTCAAGACAGCCCCATCCCCTCTTCCTTGCGTGTATTCCCCCACCCCGCCCACCCCCACAACGTGGCCCAGCCCGATAAAACTCTATAAAAAGAACCGCCACAGTTCGTGATTTAGCCCACACTCGGTCGCCATATTTGATCCCCACCGCGGCGTACTGCTCGCGGCGCCGCGAAGAGAGAGAGGATGCTCCATTAGTTCTAAACTCCTTGTTCTACGCTTATAGAAGCGGAACTCCCTCTTCGCGATCGCCGATTCGCTGTGAGGAGTGAGGAATTGAAACTAAAACATGGCGGCCTGTTGAGGGCACCTTTAGGCTGGCTGCGCCGCACAGCCAGGTTTCGCGTTGCTATGCACGCTGATGCTAGTGGTAGGGCTTGGAAGACACCTTACATCAGTATTTTAAAACGAAGTGTATACAGACCCGGTAACCGGGAACAAAGTCACGAACACAGAATTCTACACTTATAGAAGCGGAACTCCCTCTTCGCGATCGCCGATTCGCTGTGAGGAATTGAAACTAAAACATGGCGGCCAGTTGAGGGCACCTTTGGCTGCGCCGCACAGAGAGGCTTCGCGTTGCTATGCACGCTGATGCTAGTGGTAGGGCTTGGAAGACACCTTACATCAGTATTTTAAAACTTTCTTCGAAGAGGAAATGTAGTGAAATAGTCTAGTACATTTTTACTGCCAACAATATGTCATAATTGGCAATGTTACAATGTTTTTGTATCTGTATTGTTGATTTGTTGTTGTTTTTTTTATGATGGGATGGGAAGATCTAGATCTACTAAAGATCTTCACAATCACAATACACTTGATAATAACACTAATTATGAACATTAACTCTGTTGGAAAAATGTCTAGATATAGTCTTGATTAGTACTAGATCTAGATCTACGATTGGAGAATGTGTCGGTTGCACATAAAATACATAGGCCTATTGTATATGCTGCCAAAAACAAAAAAATGCAGAAAAGGCCTCTTAATATTGTTTTACACATAAAAGCCAACAATGCAAAACAAAGTAAACAAGAGTGGAACTGGCATATGTTTCCTGAATATATGTTCAAAGTCATTTTCTGTGTAGAATTCTGTGGTCTACCCTGAGCCAAGAGGGCGCTGAAACTCTCCGAAATCACAAAAGAGTTCCCTTACCGGGTCTGTATACTTTGTGACTTTGTTCCCGGTTACCGGGCCTGTATACACAATACTATTGTACGTTTATGGTGAAAGATCAATTTGAGTAACACTTCTGAATAACAATTTCTGGCTGCATAGTCTTGAGTAGTGCGCATGCGCGTAAGAATGTGTGTGTGTGTGTGTGTGTGTGTGTGTGTGTGTGTGTGTGTGTGAGAGAGAGAGAGAGAGGGGGGGGGGGGAGGGGGGGCACAAAGAAAAAAACCCAAGCCATCAGTGGCGGTGGGTAGACCAAGATTTGGGTGGGGCTTAGGTTTCTTCCACTTCTTTATCACCAAAAAGCAAGCAATAAGAACAAAACAGTGATGATTTTGCTATACTCACTGCGAGCCACGGCATTTTGAGAACCATTCAAACGAGAAGAGTCACCTTTGTCTTCCATCTCTTTGTTCTTAGTTAAAGTTAAGCTTCTGGATGGTAGGGACGAAGCCGTCTCACCTCCAAATTTCTCTAATTAGTTTTTATCTGAAGAAAAAGTTGCCTCCAAAGTGGTTTGATGTAATTAATAACTGTTAAATCTCAGCGGCACAAACACACAGCACTCCAAACACATACCGTCTATGAGGTGGATTGGGTCGTGCTGTTGCGGAAAATAGAACGCGCCTAACAAAGGCCCAATGGGCGCATAGGTATCTGTGTCACTAGGGGAAAGTGTGTCGTAAACTTTCACCCCATTGTCAGGGCTGGGAGAGCGTGAGCCCACTGTGCAGTGTTATTTTTAAAAAGTCTTCTACCTTTTAACAAGAAGAGTTTCATTAAAGACGGGCGTCGGAACCGGCTTATTCTTTCTGAGCCCTAACGACATTTGATTGGCTGTTAGGTTACTATAGTTGTAAGCAGTGACAACAATGATTGGATAAACGGGCAAGCCGCCAAGCTGATAACTGTGTGTTCATTGCGTGCGATCATGACGGTTTCAACTGCTTATTTCGTTATTTAAGAAACTTTCATGAACTAAGGGATAGAGTAGGGGTGGGGACGGGGTGGGGATGAGGGGCTCAAGCCCGTAAGCCCTTCACTACCCACCGCCACTGCAAGCCATCCAGACCAAAATCAACATGATTCACAAAAAGTCACAGTCGTAGTGAGTGGACTAATTAAAATCTCTGCCGTAACATACAAACAGCAAACAAACAGCAAATGTGACGCAACTTAAACTTGTCTACGCTTCAATCGCTTTTTTAAAAAAGAATCTGTTTTTGGTAAACGTTTTAATTAGTGCTCGCAATTGTTTAGGGTCATATGAGCGCGCGGGACACACTAAACATAAAAATGTTCAGTTTGGTAAGGATTTAGAATTTTGCCCAGGTGACGGTCGGAAGCACTACAGATTTTAAGGACCACCATGAGATCTTTAACTTGCGCAACTTGCTCAAATTATCTCCGAGATTTTTCGCCCTTATCCGAGAAGGCAAGTGATCTTATAAATCATAAGATCAGGGGTGTGGCTGAACAGTAAGAATTATAGAAGCCAGCGTGTTATTTATAGCAGTAGCGAAATGCTGCAGAAAGAGTCAGCAGGAGCCCACCCGACGTTGTGCCCTTGGGAAAGACGCATTATTTTACACTAATTCTGTTCGCTTCGCTAGCGCGGCAATGGACAACGAAAGATCTTGTCATTTTGTCAGTGTTTTACATAGAGTTACGCAATCCATGCGCACAGTTTGCACTGTATTCTTCACGGGAAGCTGAGATTGTTTCTAATACGGGGTGCCCACTACGGATGGGATCGGCCGATCGGGCCGATCGCCCGACTCGATCGCCTCAAAAACAAACGTGTTTGTTTTCAGTTTCAGGTGAACGAGTCGGGCGATCGGCCCGATCTAGCTGTAGTGGGCACCCTGTATAAGTGTTTTGGGGTCTGCTTGCAATAAGCGCATAGGCTAGAGCAATCTACTGCACAGACATGCGCAGTATGCAATTATTGTTATTATTATCATTGTTTTTGTCATTATTATTATTATTATTATTATTATTATTATTATTAATATTATTTAGATCTAATGTCTCTTGCGCAAGTTTATTAAAATTACGACTGAAATTTTTACATATTTTTTTTTACATTTTTGGGATGTGTGAAAGGGGGGGGGGGGGGGGTTATTATCACTGGGGGGGAAAAAAGTGAATATTCAATAATTAGACAATGTCAACGTGATTATGCACACACATCGGCCCCCAAAAATGACAAATGTTATTTTGAATTTTATAATTCTATAATCAACTGTATACTGTGTCAATTTCGGACCGCGTGTGACAGTTCAGTGTTTAGAACCAATGCGATTTATAATTAATAAGTGATGTCTTTTTTTTCCTTCAGAAAGCAAGTATCACTCCACTTCAGATAAGTATGTTGGTGCAAGTAAGTGTTAAAGCTAGCCTACACAATAAAAACAAAAGATGTTTGAATATGAAATGGATAAATCGATGCATCTGTACATCTGAGGGCATAAGCTTGTTTTGGTGTGTTAAATTGATGGCTTGACGGACACTGATTCAAAATTAATAGTAGGCCTAGCCTAGATCTAGTAAAAACATGCAACTTCGAAATACATAAATAACGAACGCAATCAATTCAGCAGGACTCAATACCTTGCTTATTTTATTATACGCGACAGTATTTAATTTAGGCCAAGATCAAGGAGTTTAGAACTTCTCCTTGGCCAAGATACTAATCCAACGTTCACAACTATTAAAGACTCTTCTCTTTCGTAGTTAAAGAATAAGACACAGAGTGCAAAACTTTGCTTATGACTGTGTTTACTTTGTATTTTCTGAAAAATATGGCCATATTCACAATTTTTTTGCTTTATAAAAGACTGTGACTAAAAGTGCCTAAAATTATTTCGTTGCCCCTTACAACTTTTCTATTGATCAATACACCTCGTTGAATTGACTCCGCGCTTTCACGTTGACTTCCATCATGTCGGCCCATTTTGTGCCACCGGTCATTCAAGAAAATCCCCAAGGATGGGGTCCAAATCAAATCCCAGAGCAGTTCAAGGATATGCCATACCAGCACTTTTCTAAAGATGTCAGACTTGGGAAGGTAAGATCATCTTCATTTCCTTTGTATTATTTACAAGTGCAGCTACAACATACCATATTGAGACTGACCTGGCTTTGTAACATTCATTCTAAATATTCAACATCGTTGGTCCACCAGTCAACGATTGGCCTTGTACTTGTTGGTCACACGACTTTTGTGGTTGTTGGTTTGTCAAGGTGGCGTTCACTCAGTTTGTGAATAGTTTAGGCTAACTTGGTGGGCGCTTTTTCAGTAGTTCCCACCCCGCAATTGTTATTCGCCAGTTTTGACCTCAAGAAGACCAAGAGTCAAGAGTAAGGGTTTCAGTTTCAAGTCAGGGGGGCTTGCCCCCCTCACTGACCTAATAAAGATAGGTAGATTAGATCTAGTGTCAATTGCCACTGAGTGACGCAGTGGCAATTGACAAAAATTGACTTTTTGTCAATTGCCACCGAGTAAATTGGAGCTCTTTTGCGATGGTGGGTAGATCAAGCTTATTGATATTATTGTGCTCGAGTGCTGGGTGTTGTGCGTTCGGCTCTCTGTCCCTCTGTGTGTGTGTGTGAGTGTGAGTGTGTCTTTTCCTGATCCCCGTCCCCCGATTTATGTTCCCCGATAAAACGTGAATTTCTGCTTGAGTTTGTTTGCGTTTGTGACCTACTTCTAGAATTGCAGAGATGCCAACCAGTATGATTTTACGTATTTTAGTACAATTTTTTGCCGATAATACGCGAATACGAGTTTTCATGGAAAAATACGCATCCTGGAATGCGAAAAATACGAGATTCAGCTTGGGCAAGTAAACCTAATTATCTTAAGTCCCATCTTTTAAAATTTAAAATAGTATCAGTATCGCAGAACTGGAATATTTGAAAACCAAGTCCGACAAGGTCAGTAAGTTCATTTTTGCCGGTCGCGATCGCTTTCACGCTTATAGGCAGCTATGGCGGCAGGCGGAAGCGTATTTGACACCGAGGCTCGATCGGGAAAATCAAGATCTACTTTCGCTTTCGCTACCACCAAGAAATTTGCCAGCGGTTGTCTGATAACGCAACATTTGTGGCATGCAGGTTGTGCAGTATGAACGCAATGTCGCCGTGCAAATAAAATGTAATAAACACACAGACTCGTCGCCTTGGCTGTCGCTTGTGGAAAAAAGAAAGAAAAGAAAATACAACAAGCGTCGTCCGATTTTTAGATTGTCTGGCTCGCCATCGTGACCGGTCACTGAACCTGCGCGTATTCACGTCATAAATAAATGCGGCATCGTGTGAGTAAAGACCGTCTTTGGTGGGAGTAACGGCGTTGCGAAGTATATGACTACGGAATAGGGGAGGAGATTATTGATTTTTTTTTGTTTAAGATACTATCGGGGGAGGGGGGGGGGTGGGTTTAAGGCAACTCCAAAGGACAAAAACTTGGAAGCGCATTTCAGAATTTTGATTAGAGCTTTCTGCTAAGCGCGCGTTGGTGCAAGCCGTGTGCGGAATCGGGACCCCTCATACTTTGCAAGTCTGTGTTATTGAAATAAAGTGTTCGCGTTTCATTGGATGGGTGAAAGTAATTATACCTACTTGGATGGGTGATAGTAAATTATACCTAGATCTACATCTACTTGGATGGGTGATAGTAAATTATACCTACAGTGTATGTTGTAGCTTTCTGTTCAAGACTGGCAGATTTTCAGTGTCACTGCATCTTGCCCTCTCACAGTTGTTACAACTCTCACAGTGCACGGGTCTACTTGAGCCATTCAAGTTATTGCTCTTCTCTGAGTTTGAGCAATAATTTGAGTCTGTCAGTTCATAATATGAATCATGACACCCAGACTGGTTCTTGATAGTCAAAATTCTTCTTCTAGACCCTTCCGAACTCTCAAAGCAGGATTTATTTTTTATATATAATAATGAGGGGAAAATATAGATCTAGATTGAAATACTTTTAAAGTCAAACAAGACCCCTGTGCGACATTGAACACTGACATGTTGTTGACTGCATATACATAATGTATATTGTACGCATGTGTGCTCCCTTTTTCGAGCTGGTGAGCTAGTAATTTTTACTATTACTAGTTGGTCGGTCGTCGGGAATACACATTTTGCCCTGAAAATACACATTTTCATATTTCCCAATACTCATTTGATTTCGGTTTTCTGTGGTTGGCATCTCTGGAATTGCCTGTGTTGGTTCTACATCAAAGTGTAGGCTAAGGCTAGCCTAGATCTAGGCTTACGTCTCATTGAAAACACGCCAAGTTGATACCGTAGCTCTAGACTAGATGCTCGTCCAATGAAATTATTGAGAACAAATTGACCCATTAGACACACATTATGTACAATGCTAAAGATAGTGTTGTTTTCAGACTTGACACCGCTTCACTCGGTGGCAATTGACAAAAAGTCAATTTTTGTCAATTGCCACCGCGTCACTCGGTGGCAATTGACGCTACCATAGAAATATGATGGGGGGTTTCAGGGGGGCATGCCCCCCCTGAATTTTACCATAATTTGATGTTTTGCAGTTGTTAGATTTGATATCTTAGCTCGCCGTGCATCAAATGTATAGATCTCGATGTAGGTCAGGCTCAAAAGGGGGGTGGGAACTACCGAAAAAGCACCAGCACTTGAGAGCACCTGCCTGCCCAGAACTCGTGTCCAACTGCAAACTGGGCTAGACTAATGAAATAGCGAAGTTACTATTCGGACTCTGAAATGGAAATGAGTCCAGCATGACGTCCGTTCCGGCCCTTGTTCCTAAATATTTCCAGTAAAAAAAACCCCTATCTTTAGACTTTAGCTTTCTATTCATGATGGGCTGTAGTTATTCGCACAGGGTGTTACAATGCCCACAGAGCGCGTTTTTTCTGCCGATTTTTGGCCCCCACCGCGGGAGTGTTTCGTGGGACAAACTAACACAAAAGTTGTTGTCTTCAACTCGTTCTCAGGCCGCTTCTCGTGAATGGATATATGAATGAAACTTGGCAGCCAATCAGAAAAGAGGTCAATCTCGTAGTATGCAGTTTGACAACTTTGTACCCATTCAAGAAGCAGTCGAAAACGTTTGCGAAAGTGGTTGATGTGGTGCGCTTTGAAGATTTTTCAGAGCTGTGATTTGTCAAACTGACTGATATGTTGTACACCATTTTTCTTTATTCCCTTAAAATTTCATGCTTCTGTGTTTAGCGGTTTTGGCGTAATCTTTAAAAATGTGGGAGTAACTAAGGGAAAAGCGGCATTGTCATTTGCGAGTGCTGGGTGAACGACCGGCGGCTGGGAAATTTCCACTGAGCGACGTCATCAGCCATCGGGCGCTACGGACGGGGCCCCGCTTATGTGAACCGGAAAGGGGGGTGTCATGAACACGGTAACCGGGCATGTAGCCTCAATATCTACGTACACGGTAACCAGCAACTGTGCATGTAGTCTCGGTGTCACCAGAGACTATATAATTGAATACTTTCTGGGGTCACGTACACGGTAACTAGGCAGTTCAGAACTCCAAGTCAAGTTCAGTTTTTGTTTTCCAGTGTTGCCTTCTTCCCCACCTCTCCCCCGACTGTACATTCCGGAGCCCTCTATACTTTTCAGCGCAGACTTTGAATAAACATTGGTGACACCAACCGGTACTCACAATGTGATGCACACGCGCAGGTTCACTGACCTGTCACGATGGTGAGCCCGACAAGATGCTTGTATGACTTTCTTTTTTTCAGCAAGTGACAGCACAGGACAAATATTGATTTATTTTCATTCCTGTTACTGTGTACGTAGATACTGAGATTAGGTGCCCGGTAACCGCGTACGTAGATACTGAGACTAGGTGCCCGATTACCGTGTACATAGACACTCCGTTTCGTTTTTTGTTTTCCTTGCGCCTTGAGAGAGAGAGAAAGATGAGTGCACGCTGTAACCCTAAAACCGAAACAAGTATGATATTAAACTAGTGTACAGTTGTTTTAACATTTAAAACTTTTGTCAAAAGGTGGGATACCCGGGTGTGGCAAACGAGGTCCAAAACCAGCACAGGCTCGACCCTGTGCAAAAAAATTATTTCTTATTCACACACCTGGTGTGAATAATCACTTCCTTCATAATGTGTTACAAACACATGACATGAATAAGTTATATCTAACCCCCTCTCAATAGATAGATCTAGGCTAGTTGATAAGTCATAACGAGTAGTTAGGGCCTACACACATTCCTGGGTTCGAAAAGAAATTGTATAGATCTAGGACAATTTCCGAATGTTTAGTACTTAAATTTTAAAAATCTTTTTACCTACAAAATGGTATTCAAAACTATCTATATTTTTATCTGGTAATCATTTTGCATAAATTCAAGTTCATGAAAGATTTTGTGTACAGTAAAATGTAAGTGTCCCGGCTCTTCTTTCGAGCTCCTCACGTCTAAATGGGTCAATTTGACACTTATTTGTTCTCTAATTTTATTGGATGAACATCTAGAGCTAGATCTACCAACTTCCAACTTTTCGTGTTTTGAGTGAGACAGGCGGTTCTAGAAGTAGGCCTCAAACTACAAACGCTCACAAACTCAAGCAGAAATACATATATATATTTCGGGGGAACATAAAGCCTGGGGACGGGGGTTAGGGAGAGAGGCATCCACACGACACACACAGAGGGTCAGAGAGGCGTGCGTGAGTGCAGAAAGTGAAAGTTCACAAACGCAAAACACCGAGCACACATGAGGCTAGATCTACTCACCAACGCAAAAGAGCTCCAATTTACTCGGTGGCAATTAACGCTGGCATCAACTGTCACCGCGTCACTAGGTGGCAATTGACACTACTTAATTTTTATCAAGAATAGTGACTATGTGAATTTACAAAATGATCCCTTGTAATTAATATACTGAAAAGTCTCATCGATTTATAATTTTGCTGAAATCATTCTTTTTTTTATTGATATTATAATGCTAACTGCTGAAATGACCATGAAAACTGTTCGTTTGCATTTTAAAAGTGGCTTTACAAAATTCATGTTGAACATGTACAGTCGAACCTTCTTTAACTTGAAGTTAACGGAAACCTGTCTTAACGGAATCTCCCCGCTCCCCCTTGATATATTCCTCTTTAATTACCTGTATAAAACGGAAACCACTCCAACGCGGAAACGGAAAGAAAAATCCTCTCCCTTTCGAGGGTTTCACCTGTCTAAGACGGAAAATGCTTTGCCCACTCAACCCTGATTTGAAACAAAACTCGCAAGTTTGGTTCCGACGGCTCTAGATTTAATGCTATGGCCATGCCGCTGGGCGAGAAAGGAGAGTAGGGGTCAAGGAGGTTACAGTAAGCTTTAAGCTACTTGGTAGGGGGTACAATTTGGGGGTAGATGTTACCCCGTCATATGAGCCCTGAGCGATGCAGATGGTCAGTGTAGTATGGGTGTGAAATCTGCCCATGAGAGTGCTAGAGTAGTGAGCCACTATGGAAATTTTCTTTGGTAGCCGGAAGCCAAAGGTGTAAAATTAGATTGACCAATGCCAGCCGAGTAAAGAGTTCCTTGAATCGTTGTTACATGGCAGTGAAGGATGGCATTGGTGGGTGGGGCTAAGGGTGGAAGCAAAGATGTTCTAACGTTCCTGTTTTAATAGGTCAAACAGTGATCCTATGAAAGGCAAGCACTGGTGGTAATTGGATAAGTATGACTGGCGCATGTCATTATCAGAGAGGATAGCAGCTGAGAGGTGTGGAGTTTTGACCACTGCTTGCCGATCGGACGAGCGATCCTTGCTTGACCCCACCGACTGGGCCTTTGAGCCCAACCTCCTCCGTCTCCCCCTGAATTCCCCTAAGACGAAAAATGTTTAAAAAGACGGAATTTTTTTCAGGCTCCCAAGAGATTCTGTCTTACACAAGTTCAACTGTAGTTTTACTTCCATGCCATTCATTCCTTGTTGCTCTCTCACCTCCCCACCTCTCCATATTCACTCTCATTGATCATTGAGGTTGATTACGATTTGCAGTGATTTTGTTGGTCAAATCACACCAATTTTATAGTTCTAATAACTGAGAGGGGTCTGGACTGCAAATTTAGGCTATGTGCCTGCTAAATTGGTTGGCTATAAAAATGGGGAATACTGCTGGGTTCCCCCAAAAATGCTTGGGTCTTCCATTGTTAATTTTTTATGCTTTTTTTTTATCCTTCGTTCGAGATTCTAGCTTTATCTAGAATAGAGACTGTTTGTCGTGGATTCATAGTCGTAGTTGAGCTTTTACTTTTCTTTTATGAATGTACGTCTGCTTGATCTTCACTAATCACTTTAAATTTTTTAACAACTCTCTCTCTCTCTCTCTCTCTCTCTCTCTCTCTCT